CACACACACACACACACACACACACACACACACACACACACGCACACACACTTAGTTGTTCTTGAACCCCGTGGGGACCTTCCATTGACTTCCATTCATGTTTTTTAGACTTTATATCCTAACCCTGACCATTTACCCTAAAATTAACCTCACAGATACTTATCTGGCCCTAAAACTAACCTAAACCTTGGTCCTAAACCGAACCCCCCACCCGTAATTTGCATTTGGACCCATGGAGACTGGGCATTGGTCCCCATGAGGCTGCCTTTTTTTGGGAAAAATTTCCCCACGTTGTAGGAAAAACCCATCCACGCACGCACACACACACACACAAGCCCTGGAGCTAAAATGAAAGCTAACAGGCTAAGCTGAGCTTCTCCTTCCATGAAGCAGCTCTGTTGTCCTCCAACATTTTCAGTTTCAGACTGAGTCATTTCTACCTTCATTTCTGTCAGTGAGCTCCAGGTTCAAAAGGGATAAACATCACACATTGTCCAAAATTAATTACAGCTTGCACAGGAGGAGGACCAGAGCACCAAGTGAGCATTATCATTTACCCAGAATACTTTGTGGCATAAATAACATGGCGACATCTGTGTGACGATACATATATATATTTTTTAGAAAAACTAATCAGCCTACAGTATTTTTACAGTCTCGTTTTTATAGTTGAAGTAAATGTTAATCAAATAATTTTGGTTATTGTTAATACTAGCCAGAGTTCCTTTCAAAAAATYAAAGATTCTTTATTGAAATCCATCTAAATGTATCTCTGCATGTTGGTATGATTGATATTTACCTTGTTGGAACTTCTAAACATTCACTTAAAGAGGACATATCATGCTTTTAAATCATTCCTTTTCACATTTAAATTATGCAGTTGTGTTCTATATGAAGTAAAACTGCACTGCTTTGGTCTGATGTCTTGGTATAGTTAAGTATAATGTGTATCTTTCTGTATATTGTGTGTAAATTACATGTAAAGTATCTGTATATTGTTAATACTAGAGAGACACAAACAGTGGGAAACAAAATTCCTTGTGTGTGTCAACATACTTGGCCAATAAACCAGATTCTGATCTCCTGGTTATTGTAGCTCCACCGGCCCCTCTATCCCTCATTTTCTGAGGTGCATCTGAGAGCAACTCGTTTTGGTGCGGTCTCTTTAAATGCAAATGAGGCACTTCACATCCTGGCCCATCCAGGTCTCGCTCCCAATGATCACTGTCCACTCCATCCTGTTCAGCCATTTATGTAGTTTGATAGAGATATGATTATCTAGTAGCACAAACTTTTTATTTACAAATTAATTAAAAGTTGTCAACAATGGAAGATTTGTCCATCCAGCCCTACATGTTGGAGCCAGCCAATACTGTCGTTATTGTTCAGAAAACATATTAGGGAATAGAGAAAACTGAATGAATTGAAAAATATGACCCAAACAGAATATAAAGATATCCACACAGCACCGGGAGAAACTAAATACATTTCACTCCAAGCCCTATAGACTCCAAGTACACAAGATATATTTATGGGTTAAAAAAAATCAGATTTTGCATGATATGTCCCCTTAAAACAACTGCAAATTTTTATTTTCTCAGCTCTCTTTGTCTGCCTGAACTCGCCTCACTTCCTCAAGACAAGTGTAATGGCCAATAATAATAATAATAATAATAATAAAAAACAAACAAAAAAACACTTTACACTTTACCTAACCAGTTCATTAATAGAGTTTTTAAAATCAGTTATCAAGCTTCAGCGACCATAAACCTACTATTTGGTTGAGTCGGAGAGCTGGTACTCTCTCCTCCGATCGTACGCCTCCTGGATGCCAGGGTCGGCCCAAAGCATCTTTATCGCACCGACATACTTCTCCTCAAATGTCATCACCTTTTCCACATCTACTTCCCGCACCAAGCTAGCATTTTTCTGACAGGACAAAACAAAAACAGAAATACAAGTAAATACATTTTAATAGTTATTTATAATGTTAGTTAGATTTACAAAAAAAAGGGAGACAAATTGTATCAGCTATTGATGAATACATTTTAGGGCTGCAACGATTAGTCAGCATAAACGTCGATTATGAAAATAAGTTGACGCAGAATTTTAACGTCGACGCATCATTATTTATCCATGTAAGTGTTCATTTGTAAATGCAATGCAAATCATGAACTGCTGGGGGCGGAATCACTTCTACTGTCTGCAGTTGCAAAAATAGAAGAACGTGGCATGCCGCTCTGCAAACCATAGGAAAAGCCATGGGCAAATCAAAGCGCGATAATAATTGTTGAACAGAGAGACGATCGCGTCAAAGAGGAAAAAAAACTAGACTTAAACTTTCCAAAGTTGGCTACATTTTACCGAAAATCAACCAAAGAAAGTAAAATGCAGGCTCAGTCATTCCATGGCAGGACAGACAGCAAAACCATGATCACATCATGAGACGCTAACATGCTACAGCCATCCTCTGCAGATGGCAAGTTTCATAAAGTCAGCTTGTTTGTCAGGTTGAAGCATCATAAATCTTATTTTCAGTGACTAATCACTTTGTGCTGAAGACAACTGTCTATAAGTTTTGTTAGTTTACCATCAGAAAACAGTTTGTTGGAAGAAGAGCTATCAGATATGCTAACGCTTCATATTAATTCATTGAATTTACTAATATTCTGTCGTGTCTCATCTTCTCCTATTTTTTGAAGAAGTTGAAGTCTTGCAACTTTTGACCTGTCATATCCAGCAAGATTTCAAACAGGATGGATTATTTTTATGCATCTGAATGCCACTTGACCAAAGTTGCTCCTCTTAGTTTATTTAGGACTTGCAGGAGAGGCTGATATTTTGCGTTATTTGTACATTAGCTGTTTGTTTATCAATCTACTTGCAGTATAAAATGTATTATAT